TCCTGTGCCTGCTCCCTGCACCCCAACCCCCTCAGCACCCCCAAATTCCTGTGCCTGCTCCCTGCACCCCAAAATACCCCTGAGCACCTCCAGAATCCCTGTGCATGCTTCCTGCACCCTGAAATCCATCTCAGAACCCCCAAAATCCCTGTGCATGTGCCCTGCACCCCAAATCCCCCTCAGCACCCCCATTATCCCAGTGCTTGCTCCCTGCACCCCCAAATCCAAACTGAACCCCATAATCCTCTGCATGGTCCTTGCAGCCCAGACTCCCTCTGCATGCTCCCTGAACTCCCAAAACCGTTCTGCACCCCAGAATCCCTGTGTGCATGGTCCCTACACCCCCAAATCCCCTCTGCACCTCCAGTATCCCTCTGCATGCTCCCTGCAGCCCCCTGAATCCCTCCCCATGCTTCCTGTACCCCCAAATCCTCACTGCACCCTGGAATCCCTGTGCATGCTCCCAGCACCCCTAAATCTCCTCTACACTCCAGTAAAACCTGTCTGGGCTTCCTGCACCTCAACATCCTCTCAGAACCCCCAAAATCCCTGTGCATGCTCCCTGCACCCCCAAAATCCTCTCTCCCCTCCCTGATCTCTGCGAATCCTCCTGGAAGTCTCCCTGCACCCCATGTCCCCACTGTGACTCCAAACCAGGGATACCCCAATGCTGTGTATGCACCCCAAATCTCCATACAACCCCACCAGCTCCCCCACGCACCCTGCCCCCCACATCTCCAGGCATAGCCCTGACACCCGGGGGAGTTTTGTCCCGCCTCTCTCCCCGGTCTCCCTGCACCCCCGGACCCCCCTTTACCGCTGGAGGGTGATGGGGCCCCAATTTGTCTCCACCAGCCGCATCCGGCGGATCGTCTCTGTGTTCGGCAGCTGCCATGACATCGAGCTCCAGCAGAGGGCGGTGGAGTACAACGCCCTCTTCAGAAGATATGACCACCTCAGGTGGGGGGGCGGGGAGCCCGGACTCCTGGGTTCTCTCCCCGGCTCTGGGAGGGGAGTGGGTCCTGTGGTGGTGGGGGAGGGGGCGGGGAGCCAGGACTCCTGGGTTCTCTCCCTGGCTCTGGGAGGGGAGTGGGGTCCCGTAGTGGCGGGGGAGGGGGCTGGGAGCCAGGACTCCTGGGTTCTCAGGCTCATTCCCACAGGGCGTCTGTGCTGGAGAAGATGCCCCTGGTGAAGGCGGAGGAGGAGGAAGGAGCTGAGCTTGTTGCACCAGGAGGCCAGAAGAGGGCGCCGTCCCCCAGCTCTAAGGAGGAGCCCAGCCAGGTGTGGAATGTGGCCTGGCCCTGGGGGGCACTGGGCTGGGGGGGTCCTGGATGATCCCTGCCCCCCTAACCCACATCCCACCATCTCTCCCCTCTAGGTCGCTGACCTCTTGGATCTCCTTGCGGGGGCCCCAGCTCCCCCCCGGGCCCCCGTGAGCTCAGACGCTCCCGTGACTGAATCGCTGCTGGACTTGCTGGAAGACTTGACCACCGGTGGTAAATCAGGGGGTGAGGAATGGGGGGCTGGGAAGAGGTGGGGGGTGAAGAATGGGGGGGCTGGGAATGGACGGGGTGGAGAATGGGGGGTGGGAAGAGGTGGGGGTGAAGAATGGGGGGGCTGGGAACGGATGGGGGTGGGGAATGGGGGCGTGGGAAGGGGCAGAGGGTGGGGAATGGGGGGCTGGGAACAGGCAGGGGGTGAGAATGGGGGGCTGCGATGGGGG